GCATGCGTATGACTTAAATTTGGAATATCTTAGAGGAGACCACCGAAAGATCGGACGTGTATTTACTGCGTAGCGTAGGAACCGCCCCTCTCTCTGTTATCCGTACATATATACTTCTACTCTTCGTTGTCCGAACAGCTTTTGTGTCTGAAGCTTGTGGAAAAAAAAAAAAAAACTCTTCCTTCCCTTTTTTCTTCTTCATTTACCTCTCAAAATCCAATACCCAGAAAAAGGGAAAACAACGAAAATGTCTTCTCCAAGCAAACGTCGAGAGATGGATTTGATGAAACTGTAATTCTTTTCTTTCTTCGAAATTGTGATTCTTTTTCTTTTTGTTTGTGATGTTTTGTTTCGATGGCTTTTCTTTTTTTAATTTCTGGGTTGATTGATTTGGACTAGGATGATGAGTGACTACAAGGTGGAGATGATCAATGATGGCATGCAGGAGTTCTATGTGGAATTCAATGGACCAAAAGACAGTAAAATCAATCTAATACCTACTCCTTTTTGTTTGTTTTCTTAATTCCTTTTTTTAAATGATCCATTTGGTGTGTTCCTGTGATATGACTTCCTTGTATTGATGCTCTCTTTCTGGGGTTTCCCTGCCTTTGATGCTGAGGCTGTGGTTGTTTCTTAGATTTACTGTTGAATCATTGCTAGTTGTGGCAAATTTATGGCTTTCCCTTTGCTCCTAAGAGAATCCATTTGTTGGGTTTTTGGGTTGAAGATTTTCTCCATTAATGTATAGTGATATAATCTTTGGGGAAAACTCCTTTTCTTTACTCTTAATTAGGTAGCTACTTTTTGTGTTCATTGGTTTTCCTGAATGTGGAAGAGATTTATTGGGAAATTGCTTCAGAGATTTTTATGTTTTGAACTGAAAAAAGTTGGTTTTTTTTTTTATTATTATTATTCTTTTTTCCCAGCATATAATCTTTGAATGGAATATAAACAGGTCCTTATCAGGGAGGTTTGTGGAAGATAAGGGTGGAGCTTCCAGATGCATATCCTTATAAATCTCCATCTATTGGCTTTGTAAACAAGATCTACCACCCAAATGTTGATGAAATGTGAGTTCATGAATGTTAAAGTTCCACTGCTCTGACTTGTTTTGGTGGCAGTACTAACTAGTAACATCTTTGAAACATTGGCAACAAAATAAACTATGTAAGTGCTCGTTCGAAGTGATTCATTATTAACTTTTGTTTTTCACTGTGAACTTGGAAATACAGGTCTGGTTCAGTCTGTTTGGATGTTATCAATCAGACTTGGAGCCCTATGTTTGGTAAACTTGCTACATTAATGTTTTTCCTTGTTCATAGGTTGTTCATTGTTTCTAGAGTGCTGATATTACTTTTGAACTTGGTAATTGAATTTGATTATTTCTGTCTTCCTTTGAATTCCAGATCTGGTGAATGTATTTGAAGTGTTTCTTCCTCAACTTCTTCTGTATCCCAACCCATCAGATCCATTGAATGGTGAAGCTGCTGCACTAATGATGCGGGACCGCGCTGCTTATGAACAAAGAGTGAAAGGTAGTCTTTGTTAAAACTTATATCCTCTAACAGCTAGTTGCCTTTCCATTTCTGGATGGTTGAAAATGAAAGCTCTAGATATGTACTTGTTTGGATTTCTTGGCTCTATAAATCACATTATGTTGAATCTATATGGCAGTGACTCACAGCTAGGGACTGTAAAATTTGTTTTTATGTTGAAAACTCAGAACTACTCTGATTTTTTATTATGGCCACTCTTGAGAGGTTTTTAAGTTTTCTTTTGAGTAAACTTGAAAACATTAGCAAACTTAAACTTGATTGGTTAAGTTCTAGCTCTTGTTTTTAAACATTCTACTGTTTTGATCTTGATTGTGCTTTAGGAATCCATAAAGAATAGTTGTCTAAAATGTTGCAGTGAGTCGACTACCATCTCTTCATTCTGCAGTTGCAACCTGTAGATTCACCTTGAAATTTTTCAGTAGCATTCTTGTAGGTCATTTGCCTATACCTGTTACAGCATTCAGAAGTCTCTATGTTATGATTAGAAAAGCAAATGTTGCAGCATTAAGAAGTTAAGTCATTTAAATTAGACCTATACCTAAACCTATTATGTTACAGTTACACACATTCTCTCCTACCTCCTTGCATCTCTAATGTATATTCTTAGTGGGGCTTGACATAGGTCTCTGTTAACTTATTTTTTAATTATCCTTGTGCAAAGAGGTTTAAGACTCGTTTCTTCAATTTATTGTTCTTTCAGATTGTGATCTGCCATTTAACATACTATAATAGCATACAATTTTCATATACTCTAAAATTTTTCATTAATGCTAGTTGTTATACTTATGAGTGACTGTCCTGTTTCACAGAGTACTGTGAGAAACATGCCAAGCCAGAGGATGTTGGAACAGCTGGGAAAGAAGAGTCAAGTGATGAGGAGCTGAGTGAAGATGGTGAATACGCTTCAGATGATGATGAGACAATTCCTGGAAACCCTGATCCCTAAGTGCATGATGCACCATATAAGAATCCTGTCTGTGTTGTACATGATATTCGGTTCAAGGAAAATTGAAACTTGACAAAACTGGTGGCTTATGGAAAAGCTCTCATCTGTGCCACCCTCTTTGTCTGTTTTATTTTTCCATGGATGATGTGTAAATCAATCCACTCTGGTTGAATTATTCATTCACTGTTGAGGACCAAAGCTCATGCTCTTGACATGCAAGCATAACTTAATGCATTAAACATTATCATCGATGCACTCTTTCTGAATTTCCTCATGTTTCCTTACATGGTTTGGATCAAACGGCAGGACTGAGCCTAGTAACTGAAGGTCCATTTTTTCTGATATACCGCGTGGGGACACCATTACTTAACCTTTTCTTTCACACGCTCTGGTCTAGTCTAGGTGTTGGTACCCACTTTCTGACGATTCAAGTACAAAAACCTGTGAAGAAAGCATCCAACTAAAAATGACAGTAAATTTATAAAGCGTCACTTTCCCTCGATTATTGAGTTGAATCTGTCGATATATTGCATCCCTCTAAAATGAGAAAGGCAACCAAATCTTTTGCATTGCCTTGCTATTTTTGTTTGGTTCAGCTCCTTTTGCCCTTCTGACCCTTGTTTTTTTTTTTTTTTTTTTTTCTGATAATGGGAACAATGATTAAAAATTAGTATATGTTCAATAAACGGAGAGGTTCAAACATGGGTGATCTCCACCTACTCCTTGTAGAGGAGCGCGGCCCAACTAGTAAGCAGCACGTGAAGTTCTCCCTTCTTACTTTTTAAATTGACAAGCCATCCTCTTTTTTTTTTTTGGTAGAAGCTATCTTCTATTCTGGTTTTTTTTTTTTAACATTGAATATATAATAAGAGATGATAATCTTATTGGTTAGACCCTTAATTTGGTACTTCAATTATTACATAGACTTTTTAGTTGGTTCTTGAATTAACAAATCCATAATTTAATTTTCAAAAATTTTAAATTTGGTTCTTAGTTTTTCTATTGAAAACAATTAACGTGTCTTGTTATTTGATAGTAAAATGCTATTCTTTGATGACCATATATTATGTTAGTAACAGAATATGTTAACTATTTTTTAACAAAAAGATTAACTTGAAGTCAAATTTAAAAATTTTAATAATCAAATTAGAAATTTTTTTAATTTGAAGACCAACTCAGCAGCTTGTATATTAATTAAGGGACCAAGTTAAGAATTTAACTTAATTTTATTTGGGTTAAGGCCATCTATCGTCCCTCTACTATAAAAAATAGTGCATTCTAAACCTTCTACTATGGATTGGTTTCATGTCGTCCCTCTACCATTAATTAACTCCACTTGTCATCCCTCTACAATGTCGAAACACCCAAATGTCGTCCCTCTGTCCACTGTAACTAACGGTGCTGTTTATTAATAGTTAAATGCAACGGTCACACCGGTTATCAT